CGATTTGGAGATGTGCGACATCTTCTCAGCCATGGAGTCTCTTGGGATCGATGACGATGAAGGAGTGTAGGTATCAGCGTAAGAATCAAATTAATATGGGTTTGAGTATGCAATGCCAATAATTTAATTAACTAGCCTTTAGTATTACGCCTGGTATATATTTATTATATTTCGGGGGGATGCAATATGTCTAGTCTATTTCCGTCCTTGATCAATTTTGAAATGGTCGGTCTATTTCCGTCTGGAGGTAGTAAGTACTAACTATTTTGTTTTTGGGTTTAACTACATTACTTGTACGTTAAATAATAAAACCTCCACTTTTCGATTTGGCCTGTTGGAAGTTTTTAGATGAGGTGCAACATACAGTAGTATTAATACTACTGTACCTCCGATTGGAAATGATTGATAGGTTTCACTTTGTTGAGTCGCATCTCAGTCCAAATAGGTTATTGCGTTGACAATGGTATATTCCATGTAGAGAATTTCACTAAAAATCCGATTTTAATGCTTAGAAAGTCCTAATTAGAATATCTTAGAAGTTATGGTCAAAATGGATCAGGAATGATGCGCAATTTTCACTGTGCTTCCGTATAATTTAAACCTACTATTAATACGTAGTATACTAGTACTACTGATTTCTCGTGAACTTATATGGTTATAGAGGTTTAGGTGGAGATATGTGGTAACGTACCAGCAAATACTATTAATAGTACAGGAGAATGACAATACCTGTATAATATAATAGTAGTTGTACGTAACTGGTAAACCTAACAGTTATTTCCAATCGGCGGTACTACGTAGTACATACAGTATTATATAGTGCTACCGTTCACCGGCACGACAGTACAATGTGAATAGCCCAACAAAAAATAGAACTTCGATAACGTTATCACCTTTATAGATTTCATCTCTCTGCAATTCCGCACAATTATTGACTGTGAATTCATGAATCGGACTACGTGGCCGACCCGACCAGGCACACAAGCATCTGTTGCTGTATTTGTCAACAACGACACAACGAGGATGTTGAATGCGCAAGCTTCAAGTCCAAGTCTGAGCTACAGTACTGCTTGTCAAATCCAGCGCGCGAAGGACAGCTTGTTCTCCGTGATCGCATTCTTTACTTTGCACCGTCGTTTGGTTCTGCATATTGTCTGAGCTACGCTTGTAAATCGAATGGCCTTGGCGGCCTGTGGCTGTTGCGTACGTGGCGATGAGTGAGTGTTGTGTTGCATCAACTTGGTCAATGACATCACCGACTGCCCATCCAATCAAACAACAGTATTGGGTTCAACAAGTCCTCTGATTGGCTAACGTTTAGCACATCAATTCGACTGGGAGGGGTGATTGCATTGTCAAGGAACGGTATTGTCGGCGGGCCAAAACAGTTTTCGACGACGATGTTGCGCTTTCACAAGCAACGACTACGAACTTAATGTCTACAGTATTCAAGCCCTCCAGGTACATTCTTAGCAGCGTCAAATGTACAAATACAACCTCCGCTTGAATTCTGTACCGAATCGAAGGCGCAAGAGGGGGGGGTTGTCACTAAGATACCGGTATGATACGTCCTTGGTAGATACTTGACGAAGGCTTGGACGTGGAAGGAGAAGGATGGATATTGATGCCATGGCGTACCGGTACTATGATACGTATTGCTGTACTGGACGGACAGACGCTTTGCCAATATGGGTAATGCAAATCAACAGCGCATGCTGTTGACGGCCGAGAGGTTGAAAACGAGGTTGAAAACGCGTCGAGGTGGACGACTTCAAGTCGAATGATCAACATGTCTCCCTGCCTTTCTCTCCCACTTATATCGGACAAATATCCTATTTAGGACATTTGAACTTTTTTGCGTTGTGTGTTTTTTACGTGAATATCCTCGTCCTCCTCTCTCCCTTTCATTCTCTGATCTCCCGTGGACGCCGCAAGTGACATCCTGTTATCATGGCGACGGAACAACAGCAGCAGCAGCCCCAGATCGACGGCGCCAAGGTGTCGTCCCCCACGACGGAAACACGCACCTCCATGAAGGCGTACTGGGTCGAACACAGCTCGGACAGCAACGTCGAGACCATGATGTTGGACTCGAACGCGAAAATTCTGACCGAGCTCGAGACCCCCGAAATTCTGTCGAAAATGCCGTCGTACAAGGACAAAGACGTGTTGGAGATGGCGGCAGGAATCGGCCGATACACTGGTACGATCGCCGACCACGCGGCATCCGTGGTAGCCGTGGAATTCATCGAAGGCTTCCACACGACCAACGTCGAAACGAACGGCCATCGCGCCAACTGTTCGTTCATCTGCGGCGACGTGTGCGACTTGGAACGCCCGCATGAGTCCCTCGACGTCGTATTCTCCAACTGGCTGCTCATGTACTTGAACGACGTGGAGGTGAAGAAGCTCGCGCTCAAGAACCTTCACTGGCTCCGCACGGGCGGCGAAGTGTTTTTCCGTGAATCGTGCTTTCGTCAGTCTGGAGATGTCAAGCGTACGTCCAACCCGACGCAGTACCGCCACCCGAGCTTCTACATGGACGCGTTTTCGTCCGTGGTGATCGACGAAGGCAACGGCAAGATCAGCCAGTTCGAGCTCATCTCGCAATCCAGCGTCAACGTCTACCGCCGCGTCAAGAAAAACAACGGCCAGATCTGCTTTCGTTTCCGCAAAGTCACCAAGGACGGGTCCACGGAATCGTTCCAGCGCTTCTTGGACTCGCAACAGTACTCCACAGGCAGCATTGCGCGCTACGAAAAGATCTTTGGCGAGGGCTACGTGAGCACGGGTGGCCAGGAAACGACGACCGAGTTCGTGGCCAAGCTCGGGCTCAAGGCCGGCGAGCGCGTGTTGGACGTCGGCTGCGGCATCGGCGGTGGCGACTTTTACATGGCCAAGACGTTTGGCGTGTCGGTGGTGGGCATCGATTTGTCCACCAACATGGTGCATCGGGCATTGGAGCAGTCGGTGGCCGACCCGACCGTCGACGTCGAGTTCGAAGTGTGCGACGCCACGACCAAGGAGTACCCCGCCGGATCGTTTGACGTGATTTACTCGCGAGACACGATTCTGCACATTCAAGACAAGCTCGGACTATTTGAAAAATTCTACCGCTGGCTCAAGCCGGGGGGTCGTGTGCTCATCTCAGACTACTGCCGCGGTGACCAACCCCAGTCGGATCGATTCCAAGCGTACGTGGCCAGTCGTGGCTACCACTTGCTGTCCCCATCGCAGTACGGCGGCGTGCTCACGGCCGCCGGGTTTGCGGACGTGGTAGCCGAAGATCGAACAGAGCACTTCACCAACGTCCTCGAAGCTGAATTGGCGCGCACGGTGGCAAACCGCGACGAGTTTATCGCGCAGACGTCGGAGAAGGACTACCAAGACATTGTCGGTGGATGGGAATCGAAACTTACCCGATGCGCGGACGGCGATCAAAAGTGGGGCCTGTTCCTTGGCTACAAGCACTAAGGACCGACTAGCTGTGGACGGTAGCTACAGTATGCGCAATAATAATAATATTGTCGAAGTCGATTCGAAATTGGAATTGGGTGCTCACAGGGGTGCTCACAGTCAATCGAAAAAGATTAGCCCAAATCAACAGACAATCGACCGACCAATTAAAAACGAGATCACTAATCAAGTAGCCAATCAAATCCACTACACTTCGACCAATTCAACATCGAATTAGTATGCAAATTAGCAAGCCGCTACAAGCACGGACCTCGGTCCGCAAAGCCCTCTTGTACGGTCGATGGATGCGCCAAGATTGCGCACGCCCGGCACATGTGCGTGTCCCACGGAGGAGGGCGAAGGTGCGATGTCGACAGATGCCACACCCACGCAAGACGAGGGAGCTTCTGCATGCACCACACGCCCCAAGAGCGTCACCCTCTCAACAGGGAAAACGATTCCACCTGCCACGGGACGATTTTTATTTACGCCTTCCTGTCGTCAGTACACACACACTTCACACTTGGTGTGAGTGTCGTGGCTAGGTCAAGTTTTGGGCTAGAGTTACAAAGTGGCTACTCGGAGTACGTCTTTGAGGAGTGCCACGTATATATAGATCGAAGCCTAACTGTAAGAGAATGGATTGAAGAACCGCCTAAGCCAATCAAATCACGTCCCGCCCATTTTCTTCCAATCCAAACGTTTGACCCCTCCGCATTGGGCAAAACACATAACTTACTCGGTACTTCATACTAATATTTGTGCCAGCTTAAAGATCAAATGGATTCGAATTCTATTTGGCGAAATGACTCACATGTCCAAATTTGGGTGAAATGCACAACATCCACTGCGGCGGCTTTACGAGTGTTTTGTCGATTCAATAATATCAACGTGGCACGCCGGAGTAGTGGCTTAGCACATACTACCTCCGGCCGGGAAAATCAGATAACACCATCAAACAAAACACCAATTTTACCGATTTTCACCAAATGGCTGGTTTATTTCCGACTGGAGGTAGTACGATTCTGCTGAGGGCTCCAGTTTCGAATCGAATTGACAATACCTATCAATGATTTATTGCAGTGTGTCATGCATGCATTACAGTGTCACAGCTGCTGCTAAAATTCATTGGCTTCCAATGTGATCTTGCCCAAACATGGTCACCCTGAGCTACGCTGAGTGGCTGTAGCGCCACGTTCTTCGATCACACTTCATGTTTGTGTTGAATCAGTTCGTTCCTCGTACGCAACTTCCATCTCAATTAAGTTAATCGGATAAAAAATACATCCCCAACTCGTCCTTGTCCCGTTCATCACGAAGTGCGTTTGATGGCGCTACGGCTATATTTAGGTCCCCATCGCTGCCATTAATGCCGGACGCGTGGCTAGGGGGGTATTCTGGCTGGAGGGGGGTCCTGGCCAACATGGCTGGCTGGACGTAGTTGTCCTTTGGAAAGTCTGTGATGTGGTGGCCATACCGGCGATGTTGGTCGATGCGGACGCAGTCGAGGAGGGGCAAGTACGTGGCGGTGCGGGGATACAGGTTCAGTATGTTGACATGCGCGAAAAGCGTGAGGAACGGAAGGACGGCGGCGGCGACGACAGGCCCGGGGGCTTTCTTGAGCGACAGCACACCGAGGAGAGTGAGTTGGGCGACGACAAGTGAGGCAATGACAAAGTTGTACATGGGGTGCCAGCACAACCCGGTCGAGTTGAGCGCGGGGTTGTACACAAACAGCAACTGCCTCCGAAACACAACGTCGCTCACGACAAAGAAACCGTATGCAAAGTAGCACAAGACGGGGGACATGGGGCAAAACGTCAACGTGAGCAGGATGGCGAGGAAGTAGTCGGGGAGGTTCTGGCTGTAGGGGAGCACGCCGGGCTCCGAGGCGGGGGCAAGGCCGCACCACTTGGCCGCCCGGTCTCTGGGCGTGGATTTCGGCGCCAAGACAGAGAAGAGAACCCCGACAACGATTGGGCCAACGCGGAACAGCTCCATGGTCAACCCGAGGCTGGTCTTGACGATCAGGTACGACATGAAGCTGGCAGCTTGAGCGGGGATCGCTTTGGCGAGCATCGTGATAGCGCTCACGGGGTTGTCCACAAGGGCGCCGAGACTATCGAGGACTGACCCGACCACCACACTCACGGCAAAGATCTGGGTGAATTGGAAGTACACGAGCTTGTGCAAAAGAGACGTTTGAATTTGGGGCTCGGACAGGTGACCTTCGCGGCGAGAAATGAGCGTAAACATGACCGGGGCTAGCGCAGTCATGATCACAAGCCCGAGGGGGGTGAGTTGTTTGAACAAGCCTTCGAGCCACGGGTACGTGACAAACGTGGGGCCTAGCGCCGGGATGAGTTTCCGCAGCGACTCGACCGACGAGAACGACGTGACCACCGTCGACGGCACCGTCCAGAACAAGACAATGCCAATCGTGAGGTACCGAGCCACGAGTTGCAACGTGTTACGTACATGGACCTTCAAGCCGAGATTTTCCCAGTTGATGTCGCACGCACAAGGTGCGGCTTCGATGAGCATCTTGGTGGGTTTGGACGTTTGCAGAAGTTGCTGGGCCATGTGCGTGCCAAGGAGTGTGCGAAAGGTTACAAAGGCAGTGGGGCGCATGAGGGCAAGAAGGTACTTGGTCTCCCCTTCGATCTGTTGAAGTGGTCTGGATGTGGGTTTCATTGGAGTGCTCGTTTGTGGCATCTTGATGTGGTTCTGGCTCTGAGATCTCTCTACGAACGTGGAGCACTGGTGAGACTTTGAGCCCACGATATGGTGACAGTTTTCTGGTTACCAATGTCCGGATCAGAGACGCAGCTGGCGTCTTCAAGACAGTTGTCGGCCATCGCTTCGTACAAGTGTTTCTGCCGTGTTTCCAGCTCGTCAATGTCCACTTGGATGCGGTAGTTGAGTCGGTCCAACTTGGTGCCAAAGTAGTCGATGGCGTCGACGGTAGTACCCCGGCTTTTCACGAGATGCACCGGTCGATGATTGTTGCGACCGCTCTGGGTCCACTGGGTGAGCGCGCGCTCGAGTTTGCACCGATAATGGCTTCGTTTCGCCACGAGCTTCTCGAGCTGTTTGCAGTCCACAGCCACGACCACGCTGTGAATCGCGTTCGGAAACAAGTGGTTTAGATATGTGGTCAGGCTCTCGCACGTCCGCAGTTGCTTGGGGAGGTCGTGGATCACGACGCTGTACTGCTGAACGTATGGCTGGCTCAGGAAGTGGTGCCGCCTCGCGACAAAGTCCTTGTACTCGCGGTGCAGCAAGTACAAAGTGTAGCCTGAGATCGCATACATGGCTGCCACTGCCGCCCTACATAACCACCACCAACAGCGTCTAGTTGTTTTTTGTCGTATGAAAATGTTGTATGTCTACCAGAATCGAGGGTCGTTTTCACGAAGGATGTTGAGCGCAATGCGCTCGAGCGCGTCGACATCGTTGCGAGTCCACTGCGCCGTGGCGTAGACTGGAAAGAGCACTGCCGACAAGAGCACGCCACACGCTGCGATCTTGCGACCGAGCCGAATGAACCTCACGAAACACAGTCCGTCGAGGCCGCATGCGTCCAACACTTCGTCGTCCGTTAGGCCAAGCGTGGGCAAAACCCATTTGGCAAAGCCACCACTGCTGCCTTGGGTTGATGCAAATGTCATGGGGCATGCATGCACTGGGGACCGCGACCGGCACGTGTAGAAGGACCGCGTCAGGTCGTGATCGCGGACGATCTCAAACACGATCAACGACATTACAAGGATGGGGAAGTAGATTTTCGTGGTTGTCCACACATGCAGGCTATTGTCCAGTCCTCCCGACGACGTAGCGGCATCGTCACTGTTCATGTTGTCTAATGTGGTGTACGACGAATTTCACGAGCAAGCTGTAACGGTCAATATATGTAACGGTTTACGTAACGGACCGTTACATATACTGGTAGTAAAAGACTGCAAACGAAACTCTTCACTGTCCAATCGTAGCCACGACAGCAAATAAACGAGATGCATTAAATAATGGTTAGGCTATAGCATGAAGTACCATAACTACCGGTAGCTTATATTTACTTTCCTACTCGACTTGATATATATAAATGATAGGTACTCGTGTCCCGCTAATAACTAACCACATCCCATTCTTCGTGCGGCCGACACTTTGCATGTGTAGTAGCTGTGGGCGTGGGGTGCAAAAGAGCGTGTATTTCGGCCAGCAAAGCATCCACATGCTGCCCCTTGACCGGCGTTGCAACCATCTCCAGTGGAGGGGAATGCAAACCACCTTCTGGAGGCTTCGGCGTCGTTTCGTCACGCACTCGCTGCTCGTACTGCCACGTGTCCTCTTGCAATTGCGTCTCCATGGCCACGCACAGTTCCACTTGCGCAGCGGTTTTGTCGGCGGCGTACACCACCACTTGTTGGGCCAGGTCTAAGAAATCGATTTCCAGGATGGGGAAGGCAGCCCCCGACGATCTCGACGTCCAGTCACCACCTGATGATGCACCATCCTCCAATTGTCCGTCCTCGTGCTGATCCATATCGTCACCGTCGTCGTCGCCGTCGTCGTCACCGTCGTTGTCTTCAACTCCATCGTCCTTGTCACTCAGCCACTTGCTCTGGGATACACATCGCTGCTTCTTGAGCCCGCGCAACTCACGTCGGATCGCATTGGACTGGCTCTTGGCAGTCGATGCCGTGAGCAGCCGCGCCGACTCTTCGCGTAGCCGCATCATTTCGAACTCCATATCCATCATGGCGTCGTGCATGACGTCGATGTAGTGCTGTGTCTGCGTGAGCTGCGGTTCCATCGCCGCGGCCTTGGCCAGGTCCGATGAGAGTCGACTCTTGTCGCGGGACAAGGTATTCACCAGAGATAGAAGCTGCTCGATGCGGTCGGCGCTGGCGTTCGCCTGCATTTGGAGGTTGGCGTCGGACTCCGCCAGCGCGGTTTCCAGCTCGAGGATGCGCAGGTCCTTGGACTCCAAGTGGCGTTGCAGAATCGCGTACTCGACCTCTAAATCGTCGCATCGTTTTGACAAATCGTCGTACACTTGCCACGTCACCATCGATGAAAGGCTGGGGTGGTTGTTGCCAGAGTGTGCAGGGCGTCGCTTGGACACTGGCGACGCTGTGCCACAAGTGGCAATCCACTGCCGCTTCTTATGGCGCGAGTTTGGAGGTGGAGATGACGCTGATGTTGGAGGTGGTGATTTCTGCTGCGGTAGATGTTGCCTCGAAGGGAGAAGGTCCAGGGTTTGCTCGGGGGACTTTGGGGTCGGAAGCGGCGGACGCCGCCTCATTGATGCATGTGTGGGTTGCACGCCGTTGTTGTTGGAGGTAGTGTTGTGCATACCTCCTTGGCTCCGTGGTTTCTGTCGACTCTTGTTGGCCATGGCGGTTGCAGACGCGGCTAGGATTCTTCACCTTGCCTCAACCCCCGCTGATAGTTTGGCATGTCATAATAATATTGCAAGCCATACAACCCCAAATGTATTTTTATACATCACGTAGTGTTGTCGTCGCACGTGTGATTGGTCCGTGGATTGTTGAAGTGCAAAGTGCCCATGTGTTGGTTGGTGGGGAAAACAAGCAAACACGCACCATCCTGGTGGGCGAAAACCAAATATTATGCGTTTTAGTAGTGATAAACGCACTGGAAGCACTGATTTGGATGGTTTAGCCCAAATACGTGATGGCGGGAAATGAAAGCAATACAGTACCAGAAGATATGTACGCTTTGGGGTAGGAAAAGAGTACAGTACCAAGGCGGCGATGGCTCACTTCTGTTGCCGATACAGTACTGACCGTGTTTTAATTCCGTACTTCGACGCCTAATTAATCATTGGCGTCCATGCAGCAACTTCAACAGACTGCACATATACCTGAGATGAGTGCGTTGCATTCATCCAGGTCCTGTTCAAGGACTACAATATGGGCACGTCGTGCTCTCGAGTGGCAGTCGTCGAGTTCTCGTTGGATGGTTAATCCTCATAGAGCCAAGCACCACTACTAATTGTGAACAAACTCGATGCTGCTATACATGATCCGAGGCCTAGTGCCAAGTGCGACCTGCACCGTGGCTGTAAAGTCACCCATTTCAAGCGTCCACGTCAGCATCGTAGGGTCTCTCGAAGCCACTAGTCGTCGTTTGTACACGCCGTACTGCATCCAAAGGTCCGCTCCGTGCAAAGTCACCACGAGCGGTCCGTAGTACTCTGGTGAGTTGACGGCACGATACGTCCCCACAAGGGCCTCTTTCGTCGCGTGTGGGATATCCACGCCAGGAATGTCCCATGGAATTCCCCCGTAGTAGTGGGCATCGCAGGGCGAGGGCGGGAACAACGCGTCGACTTTGGCTAGCGACTCGTGGAATTGCCGGTCCAGCGTTTCCGTGGAAATATCCAGGAAGATGCCGACAATGTATGTTCGCATGAGATCCAGCGTGGCAATGTCACTGAGGCGGCCACTGAACGATTGGGCGTTGGCCACCAAGATCACCCCCAGCCCGAGCGACGGCAACCATCCGTTTCGAGTGTGAAACGCAAATGTGTCGCCTCCCTTGTCCATGTAATGCTGGCCATACATCATGTCCCCCACAGTGTCAAACCCGTACCCAGCGGTAACGGCGTTGCCGTCAGGGTGAAACTCGTACCCCGAGAAGGTTGCAACCTCGGGGGGCATCGGAACCACGTTGTGGCCAGTGATCAAGTCGGAGATGGCAGCCGAAGAACGAAAGATACCAGCCCCTTTGCGCAGTAAAAACGCCGAGAACTTGGCCAAGTCTGACGGCGACGACAAGATCGAGCCCGCCGCGATGTAGTGGTCCCCTGGGCGGATCATGATCATGGTGGAATTGAGCAAGGAGTACGGCCCGAGCACTGTTCCGTTGCAGAAGAAGTGGCCTCCAGATAAAACGTTGGGGTCGCGGCTGTCGAGCGCTCGCCCTACAGTGTCGTGCATGCCAAGGGGCTCCCAGATGGTCGTTTTCAAATACTCGTGCCATGGTTGACCGGTTACACCTTCGACCACTTGGCCCAAGATCTCGAAGTTGAGGTTGCTGTAGGCGTACCCAGGGCGGATCTGACGTGTAGTGTTGAAGTGCCGAAGGGCACGGACGAGGTCCTTTTCGGTGGCGTACACCCCCACACCGATAACGTCATCGCCTTCGTGGCCCCCCAAGACCGAGTTCATCGCCGCGAGATCCGCCAACGTCGTGAATTTGGTAGCGTACGAATCGGCCAGTTGAAACCACGTCAAGTGACGTTGCACTGGGTCGAGCCAGTTCAACCTGCCGTTGTCCACCTGTTTTGACCGTCGTGAGATGGAAGATGACGTTATCAAGAATATTCCGACGTAACGTTACGAGATGGGCGATGGCGACGGCAATGAAAGTTTTCGAGAGCGAACCCACTTGAAAGAGGCTGTGCGGTGTGACCGCCGCGTTAGGGTTGCCATACTACCGGTAGCCAAGAAAGGAAGGATGGTGGCGAAGGAGGGGATGGAGTACACCTAAGAGCTTACCCCGGTGACTCCGAAACCTTGAGCAAGGACGGTTTCATTCGCGTAGACCACGGACAAGGCAATGCCTGGTGCGGCGTAGGATTTCATGGTTTTCTTCACGAAGGCAATGGTACGCGCTACTTTTTCCTGGACGGAACTCCTTTCGGTGGTGGCGATGCCAGCTGCGGCTGGGAAGTCACCCGCTAGCCGTGGCTCCCACACAACTCGATCTCGGAGTTTTACGCCGTGTACACTAGCCGTGCACCACAGTAGCAAGACAAGGAGAGTGATCGTACTGGTTCGGTAAGCCATCTCCAGACAAGTGTTCGCCGCAAGTCAACGATCACGAAGTGCAATCGGCCAACTGCAACCTCAAATCGTTGGCTGATTGGCTAAATTCGAGAGAATCGTGGTTTTGTACAGTAGGTACCACGTGCTGTACGCAAACTCAACACACGTTAGCTCGTAACGTTAAAGCAATAACACATCATATGGCCCGGTGTACTAGTATAACAATTATGGGCCCACACATTTCACTCCAATTGTACGTCAACGGCAAGCGCGTGTCAATGCTGGATATTGATGTGAAGTTGGTGGACTTGTGGCAATGCCAAGTCCGCGGGGGGGTTCGGCAAGACGTGGTGGTCGACGACTGCATTAGGTGTCGATGGTACAGGACTTTGCACGGCGCTTGCTTTCGCCGCGGAAAGCGGAGGAAGGGGCTTTAGATCTGACTCGGACGATTTCGGCTGCCCCCCAAACATCCTACATATAATCGAGCATGTCAAAAGCAATGTTCCACGATGTGTGTTCAATACATATCGTCGTACCGGAATTTGGCCCTGGTATTCGTGCGTTTGTGTTGAAAGGTAAACCCACACCGCAAGATGCACTTGACTGTTTGGACGGCACTGTTCCTGTCCATATCCTTTTCTTCCGACGTCAAGTACACATACGGCACGAGTCCGTCGTGCTCCTTGGTAGCGTCATTTCGTCGCGGGCCATACACCCAACCTTCGTGCATGCGCTTTTTGGCCCACACATCGTGGGAATTCTCCGCGAGGAGCTCCACCAACGATGTGAGTTCGCTCGACAAGTCGATGTCCGTGGTCGTAATCGGTTTCGGAACGTACGTTTCGCCTTGCGGGGCCGCGACGCCAAACTCAACATCCCACACTTGTGTGATCCCGCCGTCGTCGCTGGGGGCCAACGTGGTCGAGGCGGGGGGCGGATGCAACGATGCCCCCTTCGGGTGGATGGTATACCCCAGCGCTTGGATGACTTTGAGGGTTTCAATCGACGATTCCCGGTCGTATTGCTTGGCGTTGTCAGTCAATTGCCCATACGACAACTACGGGGCACATACAATGAGAAACGTTTGTTCCGTTGAAAAAAATACAGCAGGAGAACAGGCATACCAAATCGGGGTGCAGTTTCTTGTCGTTGTCGCGATGGGGCCCCCACTTCCACCCTTGGGCAATCCGGCTCTCGGACCACACTTCGTGGGCATTTTGGGCGAGGAATTCAGACAATCGGGCAATGCTGTTGGGGAGGCGGAAGGCCGACGTATCGGCAGGGGCTGGCACGTACTTATACCCCACGAGCTCGCGCTTGTCCAAGGGTAAGAGCGCTGTGGGAAACCGCTCGACAAACGCAATGGCTTCGTGGGTCACGCACGTTTCCAAGTCGTGGCTCGGGATGCGAACCGCGCCCTGCCGTGCCTGCTTTGCCAAAAACAGCCGGAACTGGCGCACGAGTTCGTCAAACCGACACGACGACGACGCGCTGTCATCTTGGACAGTTTGGGCCCGCAATAACATGGCCAAGTCATCATCCAAGATGAGGCGTTTCCTTCTGGACATGAACTTCCCGTTTGACGACGATTGGAATCGACGACGCCACCATGACATGGTCAACACGGCACCCACGACAGCGGCAAGCCGTGCGAGCAGGTACTTCACCCATACACGTCTGGACACGACGCACGTTTCGTGGCCGGTGAGTATGATCTCGCCTTGGTATTTGACCCGACAGCACTTGATGTGGCTGCCACTGCCTAGCGCTGAATGTACATGATGCAGCCCGAAATGCGTTCGAGGGGACAGCGGCGGTTTGTCGTCGGCGGGGTCGTCGTTGGCGTCGTGCGCCAGATACAAGTGTTGTGGACCGAGCACTTCGAGGCAAATGCGATCAAACGTAAGCGACCCGTCGTCGAGATCTAACACCATGCCAGGCTCGAGCTGTTCGATCATGGTTAATGGCACGGCGGATTTCGAGTACAACGGCACGTAAGTGACGGGGAACTTGGTGTAGTTTAGATGGCGCGTGGGGTGGGCTTTGGGGGGCAGGCCGCGATGCGTCCCCCCAACGCTGCTGAGCCGGGTAGTACCATCCCCCCGGTCAAACGGCCGGGGGAACCACCGAATGCACGTGCGCACGACGAGAAACGCGAGGCGAAATTTGGTGCGCAACCTGGCACGCTCGGCCATCAAATACGCATAGTCCACGACTAACACGCACGAATTCCCCACGAGGGGTACGGGGTCTTTCCGACTAAACTTGACGCGCCACCGCAAGTCTTGTACAAACGACTCGAGTTGCTTGACGACGTCGTACTCGACGTACTCTTCTTCGTCGGTGGCAGCGGTGGCGTGAAGCAGGCGCTTCTTTTTGTCGTCCGATTCGCGCTTCGCGGCTTGGGCGAGCGTGTAGTACTCGCTCAGGATGGCCACAAACATGTTTACCACGATCAGAAACACGAGGATCATAAACGAAAAGAAAAACACGCCCGACATGACGGGGTTGGCGGCTGCAAGGGACGAGTAGTCGAACGCCCCCAGGAGCATTTGAAAGCACGCCGTCAAGCTGTCCGAGAGACTGCGGTAGTCTTGCGAGTGCGTGCCAAAGAGCAGGAACCCCATGATCGCATACCCAAAGAACACAAACATAAAGATAAACACAAACGCAATCAAGTCCCTCGCGGCGAGTCGAAGCGTCTCCCACAGCATGTTGAGGCGGGTGTTGAGGCGGAGGTACTTGAACACGATCGCAGCGCTAACCAGGGCCAGCGTCGCCCCCAAGTTGTTGATCGTGTCCACTCGGTCAGCCATCGACGTCAATTCGACAAAACAATCGCGGCCACTACATACACCAGTCAAAACCAAACGTTGGTTATGGCAGTCTCTACGTAGTGTGTCGTCTTCAGATGATGCATAAATACATTGCCAGCCACATTCTAACAATTGGATGCTATCAAACCTCCATCAATCAAACTAGCCCGTAGCAAAAGTCATGGTATCCCCATATATGTAAGACTCGAGCATATTATGAATGTCCACTCTTTGTGGTCAGCTAGGTGCTGCCCCTTCAACCCCGAAACATCCCCCAGACGAAAGAAGTCTAAACAATAGGAAGCCGGCCCACACTCGTTCCCATCCCATTGCTTTCATCTGGGGGATCGATTGGAATGAAATGTGACGATGTTGCAATTCTTCACATGATACGACATTTCCGACTTGGGTGTACCTCGTGGGTGTGGTGCATGATATGTCTTGAATAACATGCTGCAGCAGTGGCACGGCGTAGTGGCATTCCACAAGGTACATAAACCACGCAACTACTAGCCCGTACAAACACACGAGCTGGATCACTTCAAAGTAATTCCACGCAGATTTCGCATACGACAGAACACCGCCGTCCGCAATCGACTGCACCTCGCGGTAGCTAAACCCCACGGTGACCAGTCCCAAGAACACCATGAGCAAGCTCTGCGTGTCCAGCGCCACCGCCTGGATCGAGTGGATTTCGCGCAGCTCAAAGCTGCTCACTCGGTACGATGTTTGGATGCGGTCGGTGGAGCTGATTTCAAACAGCACGTGCAGCTGGCTCACGACGTCCGTGCTCGGGTTGTACAAAGCCCACGTCGCAGAAACGTACCGGGTGCTAGGCAGGACAAGGTTCTGTGCCAATGCCGCCAACATGGCGGCCCCCACGTCCGCGTTGTCACGGGGCAAGTACACCGTATACCCTCCTAGAAACCTCCCCACCATCGTCAAGTCAACCATAGTCAGCAACAGACTATATTGATTCATCGCGTACAATATGTTCAACCCCCACCCAATACAAAACCAAACAATCACAACATAAGAACTCTTCCTGCAAAAACAACTTAACCCTGACCCGGTAAGTATTCATCAAGATCAACACTGCAAACTGCCTTGTAGAAGAAACGTTAAAGGCAAACTGAAACAAACCACCAAAAAACAATCCCAAAACTGCTTGGAAAATCTCCTCTTACCAGTGCCATAGTCCATGCGAAAGTTCCACAAATTTGGCGTGTACAACAACGACCTGTCCAGAGTTCGCAACCCGGTTTCGTACACAAATGACCCTCCGTAGCCGTCATCTCCATACGGAGCCGTGTCTTGGACGCCGTGTTCAAACGCAGGGTAACAGGACTGCGCGGGGAAGAGCGAGACGAGCGTCGACGCCACGGTCCGACACAGCTGGCCTTGGACGCGGCTAAACCGGATTTGAACGCTGGACACGCGAAAACTGTTGCGCTGGGTCGTGTTGTAGTAGCCAGGGTGTAGCACCCCCTGGAACCACTGCCAGATGTCGTCAGGACACGCCACGTCATCAACTGTCTTTTTGTACGATTGGTTTGGGAACTCTTGCGACCAAAACAGCTGGTCGAGACCGTCGTTGTGCTCGAACGGCACTTGCACATGCAGCTCGCACAGCGTCACGAGCATGATAAACAGAAACACGAGGTACACGGCCAGTTCCTTGTAAAACAACGTGCGTTTTTCTTCTTCGAGGGCGTATTGCACGCGTTTGATGTGGATGCGCATGGTCGAGTAGTACGCGACCTTGGTTGCCAGCCGTCGGGCGTCGGTGGAAGGAGTTGAGGTGAGGTTGTTGCTACTGCTTATAAGAGTTCGACGAGTGGACCACTTAACCTGACCCGCTGGCTGGGCGAAGGTTTCGACTTGTGGACGGGAGGGCGACAGCGGACGGAGAAACGTCCGTCGAGCCGCCGTAGACGACAACGCCCTGCCCTCCTCGGGATATGTTCGGGCACTCATGTCAATCGTGGCGCGACTCGGCATTTTGAACCATCCCAAAGTTACAAAGGGGGAGGTCAAGGGGGAGGTCAAGGCTATCTTTAGAAAGTCCCATCGTTTCATATTTCGTTGGATGATTTGACTGCCACGTAACTTCGCACGCCATACATTCGGATATGAGGCGATGCAAATCGCATGTAGTACTGTACAATACATCAGTAGCACTCGAAGGGCCATGTGGCAACAGCTCCTGTGCAGTGGGCTTGGCCAACCGCACCAGGAAGGTCGGGGGCACAACAAAATTCAGCAGGGCCTCGAAGGATTCTTCGTATTTGGCGTAGGCATTGCAAAATACATACTAGTATATTAATATCGACGGCACTTGTCTGATGCGGATGTATGATTCATACGCTCTATCAATTGAACTACATCATTCGTTCGTTCAGCTACTATACATAACCATCAAAATCGGTAGCTACATATTTCAGTTCATGCATCATAACCAGTACAGTCAGTACATGGTCAACTTGCCAGCACACACACTGTAAATGTCAGAGCTCCATGATTTTCAGCGAACCCTGCTATCGACCGGGAAACCTGAGCAATTCACCGCAAGGCCAAACATACTGGTAACTGTAATTCTTCGAAATACATGTGAAATTGCTGCAGCAGGCCATCTCCCCTGAGTATCGAAACGACGAAATAAAGGATAGTAGGAATCGTGGAAATAGAAGAGCCACACTATGTATTACTAACATTAGTAGTACCTACTTCGAGTTAATGTGTTAACCCTTGAGTCCCCAGAGCCAAATCGATCAAGACCTCGTCCAAGCACGTCTCTCCTGGAAGCTCCGTCTCGGTCATATTTTCCGCCTTGTAACCAATGAGCCTGTGAAACTCGGCCATCTTGCCTGGGCAGCGTCCTTCGACGCCACCACTTCCAACACCTGCGCTTGGAAACTGTGGCGCTGACACCCCCGCGCTATCTGGGTGTGTATGGTGCCCTGTCGAAGGCGAGGCAGCGTCAACTGCACTAGCGATAACGTTGAAATTTCATGAGGCCAACATGAATTCACCTATGGGCTCAGTTAGCGTTCGCGAGCTGTATTTACTCTTGTCCTCCACCCCACCCACCCCTTGGAAGCTATGCCTGTATTACCAAACCGTCCACCAAGTACAGTAGTAGGAATTGGGGTTCAGAGGATCAGGGTGTGAACATTTCGATAGGCGACCTCCGACATAACTCTGAAATTCAAATGGCAATAAATACTACTCCGGAGTACTAGTATTCACGAAGGTTCGGCTACAGGCTAAGGGTCCTCGGGGCCTCCACAGTGTCCACCATGATACAGTCCAAATCGAATAAGAACTCATCCAACTCACTCTATGGGAGCCGTGGAAGCTCCAACTCAACCACGTCGTACGCCATATCGACTGTCGACTTGGTACATAACTCCGCCAACTCGCGTTGGTAATCAAAGTCGATTGCATTTGACGCTGCGACCTCCTTTTGGCGACTATGGCGTTGGCACAACCCGCGCTGTCGCGTGTGGGCTTTGCATCCCCCGACGGTACAGTTCCGACCGCCTCCGTGTGCCACGCACCGGTGTCGCGCGCGTGCTGTCTTGGTGCACCCGTCCACGACACACGTAGTTTTGGTGGACGATGCACTGTGTTTGCAGCAGTACGAACCGACCCGGGCGTTGCCCTGGCACCCCTCATGCACGCATTGGCGTTTGCCTCCGTGGCGTACACACAGCCTTCGCGCATACACTTGATTGGAGAAGTCGCCGATGGCGCATTTCCGGCGGTGCCTCTGGAACGAGCATGGTCGGGTGCGGCAGGGGGGCGTGGGGGCATCCGTTGAAGCCACACGTGGTCATGATTTGTCAGTTGGAATGCAAACGTTAAATGAGTTGGATCATGGGCGTGAGGTCCGATGAAGACGCTGCATGAATAACCACCTGCTCTCTAACGTATACAACCGCAGGTCCGGTTTCTGAGCACCCTGAACGAACCATTGGCTAACGTTACAAAATATCATGGAAATCTCTGTGGACACTGCGCTTTCCACTTACTGTATGTACCGGAAGCACTATACAGTAGTGCTTGAGCACTTGAAACTTGACTGCCTGACGTTGCTTCGGTGAAGGATTGTGTTGAAACTTTGACCATTAAGAACAAGAGATATGATTACGTAAGCAACAGTGGGACTCGCTCTTAGGAAATTAACCTGAAATGACGAGGGCGCCGTGGATAAGATCATTTGGAACATCCAAGGATGAGTGAGGACTGCGCATCGAGGGTATGACCACCGTCGATCGTCATTTGCATGCTTTCTAACTTAACAATAGCGTTAAGTCCCCTGGGAATAACGGTATGCTTAGTATGTACAGTGCAATTAACAGTATTCCATGATGACGTTACCGTATACTCCGGAGTATACCTTGGATTTGGACGGGGGCAGATTTGGGCTGACCCAATGAACTGCACCATGACGTTTGGTATAGGTGGTGCTGGTACAAAATGCACTTGGTCAGTCGGGGTCGCCACTTCGGGCTGCACAGTATAAATGGATGTTTCATTACTGGCAAATTTGCCATAAGGCTGAAGTGTCGATATGCCAGGGAGTGAATACGAACCCCCTCCGAAAGGACAAGAAAGTTCAGTTGAGAAAAGTTACGATGCGGGGGAATAAGCACCCCGCGCTGCCTCGCTGGCCTCGGCAACGTACCGCCCATACTGTAGCACAAAGGCCGAAACTATGACCCTTAATTTGGGGTCCCTAGGAGCGGGTACTAGTTTCGTGTTATATTTGAATTTCAAACATCCACATGCCTAGCTCGGTCATCATAAACAGCGCTTGTTTAGCCAATGTCACTTCCATTGGTTCGTCCTCGTCAGGGTCAGCCACGGTGATCGTAGGCGACTGGGCTGCTCTAGACGCTCGCCGTTCAATTGCATCAGGGACGCGCGTCGGTTTGACTCGCGTGTCCACTGGATGTATACGATCCCCATCCGACGATGTACTTGTTCCCACCTCTTCGTGCAAGATCCGCCGATGGCGCTGGCATAACCCCCCCTGCCTGGCATGCGACACACAGTCGTCTACGCTGCACGCCCGGAACCCGCCATGGCCGACGCACTTTCCTCTGGCTTGGGCGAACCGCGAACACCCGTCCACAATGCACATGGATTTCTTCCCGTGCTTACAAGGGGTACCAGGTGCGCAACCTGCGTGATTGCACGAGGGGACTCCTATACAATAGTTATACCGACCGGGCCAAATACTGTAATGACTTGTGCATACCACTCATGGACGCACGAGTATACTTCACGGCGTGAGGTGCTGGACGGGTTGATGATTGACGCGACCGACCACGAACCGTTGGGCTTTTACAACGGACGGATAAGGCAGTTGGTCCTGGCGGTTTCATGAAACGAGTATGACACTGCCACAACACTGAAGGGATGCAATTCTCGGAGCGTGTTGATACATAACTAGCACGACATTATGCTCTTACGAAGCTTTCCGTTGTGTTTGAGTCTAGTTTTCGATAATGTGCTATTCGATGTACTTACACTACACAGGTGGTACAGAGGGTCTCGGTCAAGTACTGAATTGCTTTGCAGCACCGCCTGGCAGACTTGAGCGCTCTGCAACATTGTATTGAAAAGGCTTACTGTGCGTAGCGTGCAACTTCCAGTGTACAGACGAAGAAAATCAATACTTCGAAGTGTATATACACAGTCGTCGAATTTTCTCTTTTATTACTCTGCTCGTGTTATAACAGTACATTATCAACCTTATCCTACTGGACTTCCTCAAGTGTACTAATTGTAAGTGATAATGCTGACCATGAGGTAGCAGTCCAAGTCGAAGACGAATCCATCCAGGTCGGGCTCGCTTGGCATCTCCAGCACGGGCAGCTCGGCGAACACTGCAAAGTTCGTGTTGGTGTCGCTGGTGAGGTCGAGTTCCTGGACTTCAACGGGGGAGTTGGAATTGTTTTCCCTGTTGAGAGGGTGACGCTCTTGGGGCGTGTGGCGCATGCCGAAGCCCCCTCGTCATCCATCGACAGCGCACCTTCGCCCTCCTCCGTGGGACATGGACATGTGCCGGGCGTGCGCAATCGACCGTACATGTGGGTTTTGCGGTCTGAGGTCCGTGCTTGGAGCACAACGAGCCATTTCGGGCGTTGCTAAGGCGCCCGCAGACGACGCAAGGTCGCTTGCCACCGTGACGAACGCACAGATTCCGAGCTTACACTTGGTTTGGAACAAGCGTCGACGTTGCATAGCTGTCGGTGTTTGTGAAACGAGCACTTGGCCGAGTGGGGCAAGGCGGGGAGGCCGCATCCGTTGAATGAGCACATTGCACTTGTTGATACAGTGTGGAAGGCGTTAAGTTTGAAAGTGAACGCTCGACCAAATGATGACAAACAGTGGGTGGGACGCAGGACAACACATCCATGCGACGCCTGTGCTTTATGTACGAGTGTTGGACCAACACCATATGACAATAGAGAGTTTCGCAACTCATCTTTATCATTATCCTCAACTGCTTCTGCCAAAAGCGGAAGTGTCCCTGTCAAAACTAATTTATGATACTGTGAAAACTTATTCGGAATCATTGGATTTGAACAATTGTGATGACAATCGTCATTGTCCTCACAGCCCGTTTGGCCGATAATCGCACCCATGGCCACCCCGACGAAGCGCCGCAATTTCACTGAAGACGACGACGTTATGCTCCTTCGCCAAGTGTCGCTGGAAATGCCGTTCCAAGCCCGACGAGGACACGTCATGGAACGTTGGGCTGACGTTGCTTCGGCCTTGGAAATGGCTGATGACTTCCGACGCAGTGACATCGATGCCAAGAGGGCATGCAACCGCTTCATGCTTTTGCTGGATGCCCATCGAAAGGCAAACAATCAGTCCCAAAGAGCGTCCGGTGTTGCAGAAGACGTTAGCGAGAAGACAGTGCTCCTTGATGACCTCTTGGCGTCATACGAATACATGTGTGGCTAAAGTAGTAGCCATTGCAATGCTGTTTACTAAT